TCTCTCTCTCTCTCTCTCTCTCTCTCTCTCTCTCTCTCTCTGTATATGTTATTGTGATGGAAGGGGATGTAGAAAGACTCCTTTAGAAACTGGAGTATCTTTAGAATCACTGTCCAAGCAGCCCAGGGAGGTTGGTCTGTACAGCAGTGAGCAGGCCAAGGCAGAAAGAGTCCACAAGACCTTGGTTTAGTTTGCACACTGTGAATGGTCCCTAAACCACACACACGCACACACACACACACACACACACACACACACACACACACACAAATGCCAAATAGTAGGTTAGAGGCAGGGAGAAAGATGGCAGTGAAGGGTAAGGGGGTCTCTGTGCTAGGACCAGGAACTTAGTGTGTTCCCACATCACCATCTTCCTTTCCTCATTGTGCCTGAGGTGAGCACAACTGACAGCTTTACATAGGGTTATTAAAGAGAAACCCACACAACCAGCATGGTGGGAGACATAATGAGAAATATATTGGGAAGGGGAAGATAAGGAATAGAGGAAATATAGAGGAAAGAGGACAGAGATTACAAGCCACGTAGGAAATGGAAAAGACTTAGATAAGGCAAAAGGTCAAGGGAGAAGAGACATCCAAGGTGTAAGACATGTCTCCCAGACAATATGGGGGCTGGGCTCAAGCGCCCATTTATGTTGTCAGTGACCACAAGGGCGGATCTTCTATAACATCAGAAAAGAAGGCAGATCAATAAAGGAAGTTTCTGGCCACAAGGGGGTGGAGATGGAGAGGTCCTGCCCTGACTCAGTTCTCTACTTGAGAAAGCCTGGGGATCTATCTCATCTTACTCTGATTCTATCTGGAATCCTGAGCACCCCAGTGTCCCTAGACCAGGCATACTCCCCTCGTGAAGGTTCTGCTGGAGGGACTCTGGCCATGGCTTGGATCCTGCTTCTTCTGCTGTCAGCAGCATCTCTGCACACTGGTGAGTGGTGGGGACTTCAATCACAGGGACTTAACCACAGGAACAGACATCGGGACTTGGAAGAGAGGGTGTCTTGTGACAGATGTCTGCTAGAGGAGCCAGCCAGGCCTCTCTGCTCCAAGAGAGAGCTCATCACTCAGAGGGAGCCCAATCCAATCCTCCCCTTGCTTTTCTGTCCCACCAATCAAAGGGACAGTCCTGCCCTGTGAGTCTACCATTCTGTGGAAGAAGGCTCAGGATGTTCTGAGTTGTCCTTTCCATCTCTGCAGTGGCCTCAGATTCTTACCACCCTTCCATCCATTATTAGGAGCCAGCAGAGAAAATGACTTTGGGGTCAACCAGCCAGCACACCTCTCTGGAGTCCAAGATGGCTCCACTGAGATCCCCTTCTCCTTCTGCTTCCCTGGGAGTTGGCCAAGGATCTGTAGATGAAGATAATATGGAGATGAAAACACTTTTTGGGGGGATATATTTACCAACCCACCCCATCTTTTATAAATGAGCAGTCTGAGGGCTGGCTCATCCTGAACTGGACAGAGGGTCAGACATCTGGAGTCCTCAAAATCCTGAACTTGAAGGAGACTGACCAGGCCACATACTTCTGCCATGTTCTTCTGCAAACAACAAAAGGCATGAAGAGTTGGCAGTCAATGTTTGGGACCCAACTCGCCGTGACACATGGTGAGACACCATAGCTCAGGCTTTGATGCCTGTGGCTTGCTTGCTTGTCCCTTAGATGTCAACTCAGGCTCCATAACTCTGAGCTTTGTTTCTTGTTCCTTTACCTTGGCTTTACCAACAATTTGACTCTGCTCCCCCCCCTTCTCTTTTTAAACTTAAGTACTTCTTTATTTCTTTTTTTCTTTCATCTGATTTATTAGCTGATTATTTATTACTTTATTATTTTATTTATTACTTTATCTATTTATCTATTTGTTCATTTATTTAATGTCAGGGTCTCAGCATGTAGCCCTGGCTGTCCTCATACTGACTATGTAAATCCATCTGCCCTTGAACTCACAGCAATCAGCCTTGCCTCTGCCTCCTGAGTGTGGACATTACAGCATGAGCCACCACATGCAGACGTGGCTCTTGACTGTACTAAAGTCAGCCTATGAGAGGAAGCCCACAGCACAGTTATCTGTGTAGGACACAGCTGCCATGTTGACATGATGTAAAGTCAGATAGCAGCTGCCCGGACTCAGGGCAGATGGAGAAAGGAGCCGTTTCCTGTATGTGTCAATGTGCTCAGTGGTTCTCCACTTTCTTTAATGTTGCAAATCTTTAATACAATTCAGCATGTTATGGGGACACAGGCATATAAACACATATCAGTGCAACTTCATAACTTTAATTTTCCTACTGTTTTGAGTAGCAATGTAAATACCTTATACAAGTCATACCTGATATGCAATCCATGTGGGGCAGTGGTACACAGGTTGACAACCACTGGTCTAGAATTGGCAAATAGGCAAATGTTAGGGAAGTTATCCTTAGTGATGTTTGTAAAGCACAGGAACACACTCTGCCCTGGACTGAGCTGTACACATATGGCTAAAACTGTATTTTTTTCTGTTACATATTTGTGGAATATTTAGTGTGAGAACATATGGGTCTGTTACATGAGGGGTGTGTGTGCATGTGTGTGTGTGTGTGTGTGTGTGTGTGTGTGTGTGTGTGTGTGTATGTGTAAGGTTCTGTGTCTGTGTGTCTTTGTGTGTGTATCTGGCTGTATGTTTCTGTGTCTGCTGTGTGTGTATGTATCTCTGTGTGTCTCTATTTGTGTTTCTCTGTATGAATCTCTGTATGTGTGTTTGTATGTTTGGGTTATGTCTCCGTGTTTGTGTTTTTGTGTGTCTGTGTGCAGATATGTTTATGTATGTACAGGCTAGAGGAGATCCTAAGGCCTCATCTACCTTATTTTTTGAGACAGGCTCTCTCTCTGCCTTCAAGTTAACCATAGAAACTAGGCTGGCTGGCCAGTGAGGCTCAGGGACAAGCCTGTCTCCACCTCAGTACTTGCTCACTCAGCTCTGTCTGGTGTGGAACTTGACTCAGAGACCTGTGAGCTCACAGAGATCTGCCTGCCTCTGACTCATGCTAGGGTTAAAGGTCATGCCTACTTCATAGGTTTCTTCATATGGATACTAGGGAGCAAACTCTGTTCTAAGGCCTAAAGAGAACTCTCTATGAACTAATAACACCAGAATGTTACATACAATTAAGTGCAAAAAAAATCATTACATTTATCTATCTATGTTGTCTGTGACCAAATGACAATCTGTGGACAAGGACAGTTGGGACTTCACTTTAGCTTGCTCTCCTTGAGTCTCAGTCTTAAGCATCTGTTCCCCTCTCTGTGAAAACATCTGACAGCTGTTCCCCATTCCATGTCACACAGAGACAGGATGCGACACTCACCCACCCTCCCTCATCCAGGGAGGGTCTGCTCACTTCCCATCTCTCCCCAGCACTCAGCACCACCATGAGGAGTCCCTCAATCATCACCTCTGCAGTCACCACAGCTGGCCTGGAGGACACAGGGACACAGAGGGATCCTTCACTGATGATCCTGGGAGCCATGGTCACAATGGTCATAGCCAAGGCTGTGGCCATAATCCCCGTCTATGGATTCATGATCTTCCTGTGGTGGAAGCAAAGGTAAGTGGTCCAGGGCAGGCCTCACCTGAGCTTCCCACTGGGAGTGTTCTCAGTTGTGGGAGATGGAGAAGGGCAGGCTTGTGCAGGGAACAGTAAAGAGAATGGAAGGAGGGAAACGAGTCTGACCTGCACAAGGACTGCGTCCCTGGAGTTTGCTCTCCTTCCAGACCAGCTGGAAACTAGAGGAGCAAATGCAGATGAACACAGAGCCTGCTCCTAAGGAATTCAAGGAGGCTTACAGGAGCCTCAGGGGCTGACTGCTCATTTGGAAAGAGCTGTGTCTGATAAAGAAGGTCTGAGGTTAGACCAGCATTCAGGGAAAACATCTCACAGGAAGTGAATCCTATAAAAGGTACACCTGTTTGAATTGGACATGTGGGATCAAAATGAAATTAAGAGCAAGGTGTGTAATAGGCGCACAAACATAAAGAAATGGGCAGTGATAATCTGAAATCTCCAAGAGGCATAAGACTGGGACACTAGAAACCTAACACTCCTAAGCAAAATTACCAAATATCCACTAAGGTGGAGGCTCAGTTGAAGTCTTTGTCCCACAAACAGGGACATGATGCATCATCCTGGGAGCCACATAAAGAGTTGTCAGATGCTTGGACAAGCAGAGAACTAGGATCCCTGGGGCTCACTGTGCTGCCAGCCTCTCCTAGTGGGTGAGACCAATGACTCACCTGTCTCACAATCTACAGAAGACACCTCCCTCAGGACAATGTCCAATGTTGTCCTCTACCATTCACGTGTTTGTGAAGGGATGCAAATATACACATGTGGAAATGTACTTGTCGAATAAATTTTTGATACATTAGGGAAATACTAAAAATGTAAGTATATTTTTAGAATGGAAATTTCTATACTTTACCTCCTTACAACACACAAACACTAAAAATAAAATTCAACTGCTTTTTGAATTCCAATTCATTTTTGTAAAAATAATGATTTGCCTCCTGACATTCATTCATGAGTCTTTTACAAAACAAAAATGGGACACTGTGGGGGATTCCATAATCCCAGCACATGGGAAGGGCAGAGAGGAGTATCAGGAGTTCAAGGCCATCAGCAGTTACCTAGCAAGCTGTAGGCCACTGGGATGGAAAGACCTTGTACACACAACACAAGAGCCAAGTGTGGACTGAGCTCAGAGCAGATTTAAAGCCACAGAACTAGAAGACTGCGGGACGAGGACAGAGATGCACGGATGGTGGGGTGTAATGGAGGTTTACAAATAAACATTTAAATGTGCATCTCGTGGTTTCAGACAGGCTCAGCCCTCCATTACAGTAAATAGAAGAACCGAGAGGAGGGAGAGCAGCAGCCTGAGAGACAGCAGAAGTCTGACTGGGATTCAAACCCTGAGCTCAATCTCAGGGAGCAGCAGCCTGCACTGAGAGGGGGAGCTAGAGAGCCAGATTCCTGAGAGGCAAAAGGGAGACATGGAGAGTGCAGAGCAGAGAAGGCAGAGCTGTGTCAGGAGGTCAGAGCAGAGGGAAGGGAGGAAAGGGAGACAGGACATGGGTCAGTACACTAGTAGTCATTCCTCTGACTTGCTGTGTGGTACAGAAGGTCAGCTGACCACTGGCCTCAGGTCCTGGTGACTCTCAGACCTGTCCCTGCATGGCTGCAGCAGAGCTGTTGGCTGCCCTGGGCCCCTCATGTTGTCTGAACACAGAAAACAGCTGAGAGGCAGGATGGAGAGCCAGCATGGCTGACACACTGACACTGTTTCTTCTCCTACAGGACAGCAGAGTGAAGCCTAAACCCCAGCCAGGTGAGTGTCTGTCATTCCAAGGGGCCGCTAAGGGGCTGCTGGGAAGTTTATTATGAGAGTCATGCAAGAGAACCATAGAGATGATCCAGTCAGAAAAGCATGGGACATGCGTAGGAGGATCTGAGTTTCATGGATCCGAAGCTCACACAGTATAAGCCATGGATGTGTCAGGAATTTGCTGTCCCATCCCTGGACAAGCAAGAGACAGGAAGAATCATAGATTGGCTCTCCAGCTAGTTTAGAACAGTTGGTGAGTTCCAGACCAATGAAAGATTATGTCTTTAAAAATGAGGGGGATTTTTCAAGGTGGTAAATCATGGCTATAACATTTTCTAAGTATATTGGAAGTGAAGAATTACAAATTACATACTAATGGACAAACAATAGTGTGTGCCAGTGAGATCATCAGTGGAAATGGAGCTCAATGACCTCGATGTGATTCCTGGGGACCCAAATGGTACACAGAGAAAACTAACTATGGACAATTGTCCTCTGCCTCTCAAGATCACCCACAGGCTCCTGGTGTGACATTATCTGTTAGTCCCCAGCTAACAGACCTCCAGGTGCCAGGATCTCTCACCATGGAGATGTGTTTACACCAAAGTAGTGATTGATGGACACACATCAGCGTTGACTGCCTTCCCTGCATCCTCTAAGGGAAGCAGAGCACATGGATGCCGGATTCTGTGTGACACATCCTAAGAAGCTGTGATGTCCTCTCCTCAAAACTCAGCTCATCCTGTGTGTCTCTGGTCCTAAGAGCCTGACTGTGCTGCTCTCTGTCTGCTCAGGGCATTATTAACACTTTTAATAAAGGTCTTACTCCCTGATGAGCCCCCACCCCTTATCCCACATGACGACTCTTAGAGAGTTCCACATTGTGTCCAGGATGCAGGTCACGGGGTAAGATGCAAGGACATGGTCCACATTGAGAACCACTGCTTGAGATCAGGGTTCCTCTCTCTGACACCCTGGACCCTGCCATCTCATTTACAGCCCTGATCCCTCCATGTCACACCAAGTGACAGACCAGGGCTTGCTTAAATCCTGTGTTGGGCTTCTTTCCCTCACAAGCCCAACTCTATCCACTCATTTTCTCATTTCCTGCCATGTTGATATTCTGGACTCTCGGGTCTTTTCTAGGACAAAATTTTCATCCCATGTCCAGTCTGTCTTAATGTTTGATAGTCATTGGGTCAACGGGTAAGAAAAATCCTTGGGGGACACAGGAAACCATCCAGATTGACCAGTAAGCATGAAAACAGGCTTCTGTTGTAGTCAGAAGAGATGCATGGCCATGCTTGATAGAGATCTACCAATCACAGTGAGCCATAGCTGCAGTGTGGCACAGATGCAGCTCCAGTCCACCAATCACAGGCCTCAAATGAGTGCCATTCATGGGCCTTTACTGAGGCATTGGGAACACTATCTGCAACCTCATGAGACTGGCTGGAGATCACTGGGATCATGGAGAAGTCACCAAGCCTTCTTGTGGTAAAGTGAAGTGTCCCAGAGCCGCTGTGAGGTGTCTGCTGTGGTTGTGACTTCATCCAAACCTCCTGAGGCTGAACTCAGCAGCTCTCATGGGCACAGTGATGCTGTGAGCTGCAGTGGGGTTTCCTCTGAGCATCCTTGAAGTGTTCTCACAGCAGGATGCCATGATGGTGGTCTGTCCAGTCATCTAAAGGAGTCCATTGGTCAGCTCCACAACACAGGCCTCTGCCACAGAGAAGGGGCCTTAATTCAGTTCCTCAAATGGTCATGTGACTTCCCAGTTCGTTTTCCATTGTTCATGCAACAGAAGAGTCACAAAAAAGACTTACATAGAGGAGACTGAGCTAGACCCAATTCCACTTTCTAGGCCTTTAGGACTCAGTATAGACTCACTTCTTGGTGACTCCCCTGGGCAGGTGTGCAGGCAGGTCCTGATGCTGAGGCTGGGCAGCAGATGAGGGAGATGAAGATGATGATGTCATCCTAGGGAAAAAGACCAGGTCAGATAGTAGCAGGGCAACTGTGCTATTGTAAAGCCACAGCTGCAGCCTGAGCGTCCTGTCTGTACCACCAGCCGGCATACTTCTGCCACCCTCTCTAGCATCTCCTCCACTCTCCCCAGGCCACTGTCTGGGTATGGTATTTTGAGGTTCCATCCGGGGTTTGTGTGTTGTCACTAGGGAAAAGAAATCAAGGAGTGTGTAGGTAGGTGGTGTGACAGAAATAGGGAAGACTAGGGGCTGGTGAGATGGCTCAGTGGTTAAGAGCACTGACTGCTCTTCCAGAGGTCATGAGTTCAAATCCCAGCAACCACATGGTGGCTCACAACCATCTGTAATGATATCTGATACCCTCTTGTGGGGTGTCTGAAGACAGCTACAGTGTACTTACATATAATAAATAAATAAAAAAAAATTAAAAAAAAAAAAAAGAAATAGGGAAGACTGAAATAATTTTCATCTATGAGGTTTTCTGCTATGTCAGGGCCCACAGAGCCTGCAGTATGTGTTATCTGTGAGATGCTTCTTGAATGGAAGAGTTCAGAGGGAAATAGAAAGCCTTGATCCCGTTCTCTCTCAGCACTATCATAGAATAAACCAACTGGGCAAAAATTTAGAGAATCTGAATGCAGTGGACACTGTTAGGACCTGGAGTCTATAGAGTCACTGAGGTTGGTCTGAGGGAGGCCATGTTTACTCAGGATGAAGACTGGGTAAAGTCATGGAAGCTGATCAAGTATTAAATGTGCCTTGTATGATGTCTCTGTCTCTGTCTCTGTCTCTGCCTCTCTCTCTCTTTCTCTCTATTCTCTCCCTCTACCTCCACCTTCACCTCCACCTCTCTCTGTGTGTGTGTGTGTGTGTGTGTGTGTGTGTGTGTGTGTGTGTGTGTGTGTACAAATGCATGTGTGTGCAAGTAAGTATGTGCTCACGTGTGTGGAGTCTAGAGGACAACCTCAGGTATAATGACTAGAGACACCATCCAACTTGACTATCAACTTTGGGTTTCTTTGCTTAATTTCTTGCTATTTTACATGTGGGCTTTTGTTATTTTGATTTGCTTTGTTTCTTTGTTGTTTTACTTTGTTTGTGTTTTTGTTGGGTTTTTTTTTGAGAAAAATTTTTTACTATATAGTCCTTGCTGCCCTGAAACTGGATATATAGACCAGTCTAGCGTTAAACTGAAAGAGATCCATTTGCCTCTTCTCTGTATCTGCCTCCCAAAAAGCTAGAATTAAAGGCAAGGATGAACATGCCCACCTCCAGCTTTAGTATTTTTTAAACTACACTCATTTAGTTAAATTGTGGCAGGCAGGGCATATACATATTACTACCTAAGCCACATCTATGTTCTAACATTGCACTCTGACAACCTGCATGATCCCATGGTGTGCAGAAGTTCCTAGTGTGCACACCAAAACCCCAGCATCCCTTTTTACAGAAAGTGCCCTTCCCCTGGGAAAGCATCATGGCTGCAGGGCACAGTCACTGGTATTGGGGAAACAGGATGACACTCCAGGAGACTGATGACAGCATCCTGGGCAGAATCACCCTGCCCCCCCCCCCAACCCACACACAGCAGGGTCCCCATGGGGATTCCGCTGAGGCCAAGACTTGAGACTAGGACAGAGCCCATGATCTGGGATTAAGGAGCCAGCAGGTGGCAGCAGAGAAGCAGGGCACAGGAGCACCTGGGCTCCTGTAGAACTCACCAGAACATGTTGTGTAAAACTGCTGGGGTCCAGCACATGATATATGACAGTTTTGTCAGGTCCATGCCCTTCTTGGGTAAGTTAACAAGCAGGTGACCTTTACCCAGAGAGCACAGAGAGTAAGGGAATCCCAGATGAAATCTAGAGATGAGGATTCATGACCTGGAGGGCATCCTCATAGACCTCACAGCTGCTGCAGATGTGGTTCACCTGGTAGACTTCTTACTTATCTGGCACACACAGAACCAAAGGCTTTATTTCCAACAGACAATAAAGAATAAAGGGTCATGATGGTGCACATCTGTAATCCTGCTCAAGGGAGGACCAGGCAGGAGGAGCTGTAGTCATTCATGGTCATCTTTGGCTACATAACAAGTTCAAGGACAAGCTTGTGCTGTTTATACACACACACACACACACACAGAGAGAGAGAGAGAGAGAGAGAGAGAGAGAGAGAGAGAGAGAGAGAGAGTTCCATTGCCCTGTCCTCCGTGTCCTGTTTGATCTTCCATCTGAGGCCAACGCATCTCAGTGGTTTTTGCCTCAGTGTCTCCAAGGGGACTCTGGATACTGAAGTCTGTCCATGTGCAGCTGGCAGTGAGGCCCTGACATACTGTGTTTGGCTCAGGTCAAAGATCTAAGGCCTACAAAAACTGTGAGGAAGGCAGAGAAGCAGATTTGAGAGAGGGCAGCCTGCATAGCCAGCTGTAGGGAAGCGTGGACAAGGTGACCAATAGCAGGAAAGCTAAGGAACTGGGAACTTGCCTCTGCACATGTCACTCAGGGAGAATGATGTCACTTCATCTAGAACATTCATGTCTTCCTGCCCTTCTGGGAGCTGATGGCACTGTATCCTGGGGAAGGGTAGGATGACCATCCTTAGAACCACTCCTGAGGCCAACACAGTTTCTGCCCCAACCTCTCATGTCTCCACCTAAATCACAGGCCAGCTGTGTTCACTCATAGACATGTCCCAAGCCTTATGTTATTAGTGACACCTGTCTGTTTTGAGCTGTCTTTACTTAATCTAAGAAAGGTTCTGGTGTGGCCATAATTAGAGGAAGTCACTCAAGAGCTTTGTGGAAAGAGCTGCGCTGAGCAGAGGCTGACCAGAGGCTGCGCTGAGCAGGCCGACTGAAATCTCTGTATAGAATGGAAGACTCCAAGAACTCGATGTGACTAAAGTCTAGTCAGTCAGTCATGTGACTGTCATGTGACATGTGCCAGGGCTTCTCTGATTTTTGGTATCCTCTTCTGAGTGAATGCCATGGTGGTGAGGGAGACAGAAAAGATCCTTTAGAAAATGCAGTAGCTTTAGAGTCGCTGTCCAAAAAGCCCAGGGAAGTCAGAGACTGTGCCATAAGAAATATGCCAAGGCAGAGAGAGTCCACAAGAGCTTGGTTCCACCTGGACACTGTGAAGGGTGCCTAAAAGACACAAAAATGCCAGATGGGGAGCATATGGGGAGCAGGAAGGGGAAAGGGAGAACATGGTAAGGAGGTAACTGTGCTAGGGCCAGGAACTGAATATGTTCCTTATAATCACCTTCCTCATTGATCTGAAGTGGTTTAGAGACTGACAACTTCATCATGTGAGATTATTAGAGAGAAACCCAGACAACAAGCATGGTGGGAGACATAATGAGAAAGAGATTGAAGAGGGGGAGGGAAGGAATAGAGGAAATATAGAGGAAAGACAACAGAAGGATTACAAGGCACTTAGGAAATGGAAAAGACTAGATAAGGTGAAAGAGAGGAGAACCAGCCATGCCAAGGTCTAGGCCAACAATGGGGGCTGGGCACAAGGGCCCAGTTATGTTGTCAGTGACCACAAGGGCGGATCTTCTGCAACATGGAAAAACAAGAAGCCAGATCAACAAAGGAAGTTGCTGGCCACAAGGAGGTGCAATGGAGAGGCCCTGCCCCTGACTCAGTCCTCTTCATGAAAAGGCCTGGGATCTGTCTCTCTTTACCCTGGTTCTCTCTGGACTCCTGGGTACCCCAGTGTCCATAGATAGGGCATTCACCCCTTCCTGATGGTTCTGCTGATCTCACTTCCTGGAGGGACTCTGGCCATGACTCAGATCCTGTTTCTTCTGCTGTCAGCCGCATGTCTGCATGCTGGTGAGTGGGGAAAACCTCAGTAG